CGTCATTCCATGGGTCCAGGAACTTCACAAAACCACAACTTTCACAAAAAGTAAAAACTCACAAAAATGTTGCTGTCCCAGCTTCTCGAAACTTCACTCTACGATATCAACTAAAGATACACACACACAGTTATCCCATTTCTGAGAAAAATTGTTCAGAATACAGAAAGTGCCATTTTGCCCTTTGCTGTGTTTTCCGCCTTATGGATTTACCATAATTTGACCATAGAATTATGCTTTACCGAGACTATGACCCATGGAAAAGTATAATATGCTTATTAATGTCATAACATAGCAATTTATTGTAGAAATGAACCTGGCTCTGGTAATTGATTAGATGCATAGGCCTACTTAATCAAAACAAAAGACTGATTTCATGATGGTGTATAAAATCAATAGGCCTTAGACTTAGACTAGCGAGTATATAACTGTACTCCTATTTCAACTTTTTTTTCGCTGACGATGTCTGTTATTACAGATGGAAAATAAACGCGGGGATAAGGGGGGGGGGGAGCTCTAAACAAACCCTTCTCCTTCTCCTTTTCCCTATTCTTAACACCAAAAGTTTGTCAAGACATACGACATGTATATTGTTCAAAGAAAAAGAGACTAGGGACACAACTAAATCAATAGTACATTAAGCTAGATCTTCACACAAATCTAGATCGAGGTCTAATCTACTTTGACCTCAAGCAGCTGACTTCTCTGCATGGCCTGCGTCGGTGTCCTGTTGCGGTGACTCTTACATCAGAGCTTGGCGCAGACAAGGGTCGACAAGTTTTCTATTGTGATGCAATCGAAGCATACAAAATGTACACTAGGTCTAATCAACCGAGTAGGTTTCACAGATAAATGCGTTATAAATCAAACGTTTCGTCATTTTATCATTTTTAGATCATATTTGTACGTAGAGCCCTAAACACATCCTTTATTAGCTTTTAATTTTTAAACTTTTGCTTGCCAATGACTTATTTACACACGAGTCCATGCGCTGAGACTCTCTGCCTATCTCCCTCTCATCCCCATCCTGATTTCATTTTCCAGAAAGAGAGCTGAGTTGCCGTAGAACAAAAACCGTCATTAGTACCTCAAGTAAGTATTCTGATATGTATACATTCGGTTAGGTAAGCTGAAAGAAATGCATCGCAACTGTGGGCCAACATAACTTGCAATACCGATAATACAAGATTCACAAGGATCATCTTGCGTCATGAAGCATGTAAGACAATAAATGAACCGTACTTGATAGCCTGGCTTCATTTCTTCTTTTTTTTGTGTTTTTTTTTTGTAAATAAGACGTCCCACGCGTTCAAGTGGTCGACAGCGACTGACGACAATACTGGACACTGGACGCAGCACAGCTACACGATACACTGAGCGACACTCACAAACACTGTGACAGACGACACGACAAGTGAACAGAGACGCAACAAGAGAAATATCGCCACATTGTGAAATTATGGTGTATTGTTTTCACTCGCCAGACCGAGTGAGATCAGAATGCACTTTTTTTAAACGACCTTCGGGTATAACTGCCAACTTGCCCAAAATGAGAACCAGTTTCGAAACATTCCTCTCCGTCGGCCTGGGTGTGGGAGAATTCCTTCCCGTTAAGGTGTCTCCAGCCAACTTGCTGTATCAAATGTTACCTCAAACGAAACTGAAAAGAAACGAAGGGGTTGCTGCTGCTTTGGACGCATCGGTTTTCTCCAGCGAGATCTTAATCGTCTGTTTCGTTTCGTGACCTGAGTTCCAAGCTATACTCTCAGTCTGCCGAGATCAGATCCTGGCTGTTGACTGCAATGGCAGTGTTTCAAAAAGCTTCCTTATCCAACGACCGCGCTCCTATCGTCAAAGCGCTGGGAAAGAAGAGGACGGAACAGTCTGTCTCGGTTCACGGTAAAATATGTTGAATTTCTCAAGGTCTATGGCGTAGACGTGTGTGTTTATGACACGTTATTCTCCGATTGTCGCTTATTTCTCAGGGATTTTATTTCAATGTATGTACAAAAATGATAGATCTAGATCTCCAGTACTAGTATTTTTTTCTTCACAAGCAGCTAAGACCGGGGCGGGAGACACCGTCTTACGGCGAACCGTACCATGTAGATTGTAGAATTATGCGCTTTGTTGTTCACTTCTTGTCTTGTTTGTAAAATCTCTCTCTCTCTCTCTC